CTTGCTCGGGGGCGCAACCGTTTTTTTTTTCCTGCCGCTTCTTAGAAATAAACCGAAGTGTCCCTATGAATGTAGAGGGTTATTAAAAAAAAAAAAAAGCCCGATCCCAGGCGACAACAGGACAAACCCCCGCTCTCCACCACCGCTGGCCCTTTGGGTTTGTTTCATGCAAAAGAAGCACCAATTTAGGCTTTAAAAAAATCTCCTAGTTCAAAGGGTCGGAAATGCGGCCATAAACCGCGGCTTCACCCTCCGAGGTGCCGTGATCAAAGCCGGTTGCTTTCTAAAGATAAAATGAACGTTTATACAGTGAGAAAGCGAGATTGATTTACGGATTGAAGCCCGCCGTTCTTATTGCGGATCGTAAATCTGCCAGGGGCCGCGAAACTCCCAGGGCGCTGCTCGCAGAGGCGCCTCGAGCGCGGCCGGGCCCTAGAGCAGAAACCGCCTCCGCGCACGTATAGAGCCTATACAGGCACCTACACAGAGGTGATGATTTTTTTCTGCTCTCACATAAACAACCGTCCGCGGAGGTTGCGCTTTCGCCCGCGCACAAGAGCCGCTTTTGTCCGTTTGGGAAGCGAGGGGACACAAAGGGGGTCGGAGCGGGGGTTTTGCTGCGGGAGCCGCTTGGGATGGGGATCCCGGTGGGGACCGGCGGCCCGGCCGTGCCCGGGGGCCTCGGCCGCGCAGCCCCGCGCAGCCCCGCGCAGCGCCGGCCCCGCCGCCGGGCACAGAGCATTTTTTATTTGTTTGGGGTTTTCTTATTATTATTCTTTTAAAATTACTACTATAATTTTGTTCTAAAGTGAAGTGCGGCTCAGAGTCCGCTCCGCACAGACCAACCGCAAACTCTCGGCTCCTTCCTCCCGTTCCTCTCTCTTCCTCACAAAAACCCGAGCAGCGACAGCGTTTTGTCCCTACAAGTCAAGCAGGGAAATAAAAGAGGGGACAGAGCCTAGAGGGGAAATTCCGCGCAGAAATATCGCAACTCCATTCATTCACCCTGACACCCTGTTCTCCCGTGTCCATTCCCCTCTCGCATGGCCGAAAATACGAGGAAAGGAAGAAGGGACGAAGCGGCAGCGGAGGGAGCGCGGCCGGGCTGAGGCGGGCCCCGCGCTCCCGCACACGCGGAGTTTGGCCGCCCTCGGGCCGCTCCGCGCTGCCCAGCACAATGTCCAGCCTCGCAGAGGTCAAGGGGTTTGAGAGGTCAGTCCGGGGCTCTAATGCCCAGCTAATCGCCTAGAAAACGTGTCCTCTGCGTGAACTCTATCGGGGCCGGCGAGCTCTGAATTTTGCCTCCCCAAATTCTCCCTCCACCCCTCCGACACATGCGAGGGGCCCAGGGCGCTCCCGCGCACCCTGGAGGGACCTTAGGAATCCCTAATGCCCCCATCCCCGGAGACACCACCCCAGGGGGGTCCCAGCTCGGGACGTCTCGGGACATCCGACCCCCTCGGGACCAGCAAGGCCCCCTGCTCCCTGCAGAGGCCCGAGCCCTTCGGGATTCTCCAAGCCGCAAAATCCCCCAAAGCCTCCTGTGCAGGGAGACACGGGCAAGCAGCGCTCGTACAAAATAATAAATCCGAATAAGAATCAAAAGGGACCGAAAGGAGCGAGAAGCCGCCTCAGCCTCAAACCCGCAGCCTCCCGCAACCCGCCTGCAAAGTTTCTGTGCTCACTCCCTTCGCTCACATCGAGCAGCATAAAATGAGCAAACAGAAGGAAAGCCCCGCACAAGAATTAATGATTTTTGTTCTATTTTTTTTTTCGGTCAGAAATGCATGCCAAGAGACCAGTGCTGTTACCTGCATCGCTCCCACATCCTTTTTCCACGGCCCTCATGGCTGGGGTGGTTTCTTCCAAAGTGAGAGGTCTGGGGGAGGGGGCGGCTTGGGGGCTTTTGCTTTTGTTTTTTTTTCTCCCCCAAAAATAAAGCTTTCACCTTTACGATCCAGATTTTATTATTAATATTATTATTTCCCCTGAAGATTCTGGTAGGGCTCCGGGTGCTTTTTCCCAACAGACGGTCTGCGGAGATTTGCTGTTGAATAACAATGGGAAAAGGATAAGTATTTAAAGAAAAGAAGTGATTAATGATTTTCTGTATAATTCTCGCATTTTTCTTGGCTTCTGTCTGCTTATAATGGCTGTGAACTTAGGTCCTATAGAAATCTTCTTTTCTCCCCCTTCTATTCTATTCATACTTTCCAGCTTTGATTTGCTTCTATAGAACCTGCATTCCTAGAAGCATATGCTTTTTTTAAGAACTATTTTTGCCATTCTTAGAAGCACTACCCTGAAAATAACACCCTCTTTGCACCCACAGCAGATCAAAGAGGAAACAGTAAAATAAAATGCAACAACAGCAAAACAACCCCAACCTCAGGCATTACAATAAAATACAGCCCTTGGCACCCTCTCTGGGTTAAAAAAAAAAGAAAAAGAAAAAAAAAGGGAAAAACGGTAAAACAACAACATCAACAAAATAAACTTTAAAAGTCTCCAATTGCTGCCTGAGAACCCAAAATCCAAAATGCCTTTATAAATCCCCTTCTTCTGCATTAGAAACGTGTATCAAATCTGTATCATGTGACTGCATTAATATTATTTTAAAGTATGAAAGTGTCAATAGAAGGAAAAATATAACGGTCCTTTGTCTGGGCTGGGGGAAGGGCCACATCTGAAGACACTTTATTTGCAAGGTGGTCGCGCAGTGACTTAATACAAATAAAGCCCTAGTAATAAACACAGGCCGGCCTCAAATGTCCCAGGCGCTGCCTTTGTCCCTGGGATATCGCGCAGTTTATGGGGGGTCTCCAAGAAGCCCATAAACACTGAACAAATAAGCAAAAGACATTTTCGTTGGAGGCAAGTATAAGAAAATGATTATTTTCCTCAAATGGGGAGAGGAGGAGGCCTCCCCGTCGCCCCCCCACCCGGGCACAATAGTCTTTTTCTTGTATTTGTAACTTAGAACTGCAGTGTTATTTCGTCTTGAGCGGTATTTTCGATACATTCTATGAGAAAGAAAATGAAAATTAATACAAGAGCTGCGGCTCACAAAAGAAGCCATTTGTCTTCTTGATTATCTATTTGCTTGTCAGGCTATGAGCTATCGCAGGAGCCAGCTCCTTTGTAATATAAAAATACACAGAAAACCTGCAAACACCGAGAAACATCTGTGCAAAAATTAGACTCATTAATGCATTAACTACCTTGGAGAAGGAGATTTTTTTTTAAATCAAGAAGTCTCTCTAGAGAAATACAGCGTTCCATCAATTCTTTAAAGCCAAGCCCAGCACTAATGACTACCTCTGTTTTGTCTGAAACCAGTTTGGGAAGAGCATATTAATATAAGCTTAGAATAAATAAATCATAATATGTAAGGCTTAGCAGTACTTAAGGCTGATGTACCCCATAGTCAAACATCTTTTGTTTTCATTAGGGGGTAGAGGCTGTGCCATTGACAACAGAAAGCCCAGCTCAAAAGCGACATGCTTTTTAATTAAAACGTTGCAAAAATCTATTCCCCCCACCCCAGCACAACAACAACAGCACAAAATCACACGGGATCAGCTTCACAATGAAACGTTTATTTCCACTCGCGGTTTTTTTTTCCCCCTGCTGTTTACACGGGGGTTGAGGACGCGCCGAAGGACAAAAGGCGGCGGTGGCTTCGCGCCCGCGGCCCGTGCGCGGGGACACCTCGGTCCCCCCCGGGCCGTCCCGCCGGGGCCCCCACGCCCCTCGCCGCCGTTTCCCGGCCCGCCGCTCTCCGCTCCCCGCACTCGCATTTCAGGTGGCACCACCGAGTTTCTAGACTAAATCTTTCCCCCCGCCTTCCCTCCCACCCTCACCAGACTCACAAGTGAAGCAATTAACCCAGTGGACTCCAAATGGCAGGGGGGAGCGGGGGGGTCCTGCATAAGGCTCCGTTCTCGCGCTTTCTTTGCCCACCACTCACTGAACACAATTTCACTTTGTTTTAGTGTTTTCCCCCCCCAAATCCCGGAGCTGCGCCACGGCCCAGGGGGCAGCGCGGAGCACCGCGGATTTTCAGCTGGTTTGTTGGTTTTCGCCACCACGGGGATGTGCTAGAACCGCCGAGTCTTTGGGATGTCTGAATAGAAATTTTCGTTTTGTGGCTGGTAGGCGAGGGGAAAAAAAATAGGGGATCCAGTTCGTCTTGAAGAAACTGAGCCTCATTTATTAAAGTGAACGCTGGTTGTCGAGGTAATAGCAGACATAAGGTCCATCCTTTGTACGGGAGAGTAAACATGACAAATGGGGCAGAGCTTGGCGTGATTAAAGATGAAACAAGGATCCATCTTAGCCAAATCTGAAAACTACTCTCTACAGCCTCCTCTTAATGGAAGAGAGGCACAACAGCAGGGCCCGGCTTTGTTGGAGCCGAGCCTCCCTCTGCTCCCCCTATAAATGCGGAGGACCCCTCCTTCCCTGGCTGCTAGAACAAAAAAAATCCTGTGTT